ATTTGGAGTCATGGAAAGGCCACCCAGCCTATACCTTTATTGCAAGGTCTAATATCAAAAGAGGAAGGGTATCAATGGCTGTAACATACTGCATGCAAACCATACCATTTATGTCTGGTTTTAAATCTTTGCCATTAATTTTATCTTCTGCATTTTCTCTCCAGACTCTTAATCGCCTTAAAATAATCTATCAGAAATAATCTGTTGGAATCTAGAACACTTTGAAACACTTATAGGGGTCTTTTCTAACACAAAACATGACAAAGAATTAAGATGCCAAATGCATACCGAATAGTCTTTATTATTATACATAAAAGAGAACACAATCATTATCCATTCCTTTTAATATTCACCAAGCTGCAATTGGAATGCTAAATATTATACCCTTGCATGTTAAATGGTATGAGGGAAATAAAAGAAATCAATAGATGTCAGTAATTCTATACTTAAGAGGATTTTGAACAATAGGACCTCACACTAGAACTCTTCATTTTCTGCAAGAACTTAACATAGTCCTTTCTCAGTTTCTGGAGCCCTATAAACCCTTATTAAGAGCTAATTATAATTGTCATAAGAATAAAACAGTCTTATCTTTAAAGAATTAATCCGAGATGCAAAATTGAACTTTTATTCTACAAAGAATAATATTCTCAGTATCAAGTTGTTCCACGCGGGGGTGGGCTGCTAATTAGTTCATAGTTTACTTTTTTAAAAAGTACTTTGAAATTGCAGAGTTTTTTTCCACTTCTTATTTTAAGATATTTTTTCTTTTTAATGGATTATGGGGCACAGTCCACTGGGAATGGTTCTAATGCTGGCACAAGCTCTATAAAAACAAACATGACAAATGCAACAGCACAGTTTTATATACCTTAGAGACTTCTCTAACTATCTCTTGAACCTTGGATGTTTAATTTATGTTCTAATACAATGTTGATAGCTTCACTATCTTATTATTAATGGTGTCATGTAGAGTTCCCTGAACCCAAAGACAAGCTTGTGGCAGGGTTTTGACTTGGCCAAGGAAAGAGAGGAAGGAGTGTGGTTGGTTCAAAATGTGCAGTACAGTCAGCACTCCATATCCACTGATTCTGCACCCACAGATTAACGAGCTTAAAAATATTTTTCTTAATTCCAAAAAGCAAAACTTGATTTTGACATTTTATATAAGATACCATTTTAATACACCAATGAATAAATTGGAACGTGAACATCCACAGCTTTTGGTATCTACGTGGGGTCCTGGAATCAAACCCCAGAGAATACCAAAGGTCCACTGTATTATTCTTTAAAAGGAACAAGATGAGTGCTATTTTATTCAAGCAGACATCCAGGTTGTTCCAATTGTTGGGTCCACAAAATTTTTGATTGTGTTAGGCATTGTTAATGCACTTACACTATCATGAGACATTTAAAGCCTGTCTCAATGGTCCTTCAATGCAATGGGGCCTGTGGCCATCTGCAACCATTCCACCCTTGAAAACTATCATGTCCTTCACTTCAGTAGTTGACTCCTTCAACAAAATTGAAGCTACAAATGGCTAATAACAATCCAAGAAACTTCCTGAAAATGCTGATGCTACAATTTCCTGGAGTACAGAGTGTTCTATAAGCCTATAGCACTAGAGTATCGTTCAGGGGTAGGCAACCTTTCCCCTTTAAGGGCCAAGGGACTTCAGCTCCCAGAATCCCAGGAGCTATTGGCCAACATGAGACTATTGGCCAACATGGCTGAGGCTTCTGGGAGCTGAAGTCCCTCAGCCCTTAAAGGGGAAAGATTGCCTACCCCTGGATAGTTCATAGAATCCTAGAACTCCAGTGCCATAACTCTGGGGGGCGGTGTAGCCTTGGTTTATAGAAACACCCTACCCTTGATCAGG